AAGGATAACGAACACTTGGTTGCATTTACCTTTATCTTTAAAGAGACAAACTCATTAATTTACTTACATAATAAGTAGCAATCAACACCATAAGTAAGTATCAAAATCGATTATCAACAACAAGTGTTCTTATAATTTCCCAAAATGAAACATTTAAGCATATAATGTCCAAATAATTAGAGGAGGCAATTAAGCAAATACACAACTCACTCCCATCTTAATGACCTAAGCATAATTAAATACTAAATAGCACTTTAACCATGAGTTTTAGACTTTAAAAGGTCATTAATTCACCTTTCGCCAAAAATTCTAGAATAAACATGCCAAAAATCAAGAGATAAGTCAAATTAAGCCTAAACTTAGCATGTAAATATTCTAGAGCAATCCATCTATCTCATAAAATTTTCTTCAATCCAATTAACTTAAGAAATTAGCTAATAATTAACAAGTCTCATTAATCCTCAAAATTAGCTAAAAATTGCTAAATTCACCAAATAATCACAATCCCATGAGTTAACCATCATCAATAATTATCAATAACCTTAATAAACACAATGGGAAGCACCAAACTTCACAAAATGAAGAAATTCGAAATTGCCCAAAAATTAGAAAAAAGTGAAAAATGGCAAAATTCAAATGACGAAATTTGGTGAAGATTTGTTATCTCAAACTTGTTGGTTGATGATTATGGATGCAAAAGGTGAAGAAACCCCTAAAAATCTCACTCTAATTCGCCCTCAAATGGAAAGTTCAAAAATTTGAAACCTTTGTTCTTGCCAAACTCAAATCTGAATTAAATCTTGTTTTTGAAGAAGTTTAAGCTATGAAATCATCTTTAGAGGTAAAGGGAAGTGTTTTGGTGAAGTTAGTTTGAAAATTAGATGGTGAAAAAAGTGATTTTAGTGAGTAGTGTGTGTTTTAGGTGTGAGTGTGTGTGTAGGTTGAAGACGGAAGGAAAGAAGAAATGAGCTCTTGAAGCTGACGAGCTGCCAGAATCCGGCCGGATTCAAGGCAGTGAGCAAAATTTTTTTTGTTTCGCCTCCCCTGTCAATCCAGCCGTTAATCTGGCCAATATTTGGCCAGATTTGTGGCCGGATTTGCTGCAAAAATTTCTGATTTTTGTAGTTTTTCAACCAGTTTTCTGCTTGATCAAGTTTCCGCACTCACTTGATTTTCAACTGATTTCATGTTCTTTAAGAAAAATTCACTTTAAACCATAAAAATGTACTTTTCTCAACCAAATGCACTTAGAAACATGAAATCATGCATCAATATAACTTTAGCATAAATCACTTTAAATGCATCAAATGCATCAAATGAACATGAAAACTCCCTTTTTGCTTCATTCTGTGCTCTTGTGCACTTGAAACAATTTGCATGAACCCTTGCCATTGCCACCTATAAAACACACAAAAACACTAGTTAAACAACTAAAACCTACTAAAAACAAAAAATCATTGGGTTGCCTCCCAACAAGCGCTTCTTTATAGTCATTAGCTTGACTATATAACCTCAATATCAAGGAGGTTTAGTTAACGAATAATCTACCATTTTAGGTCGTGGTGGATCATTAAAAGGTGGTTTAATAACTAGAGCCACGTGTTCTAATGATATGAGAGGTGGAAGAAATTTACCTAACTCAAGTGAGTCATAGATATTATCTTGGATGTGCATCACTTGAGTACTCACCAAAGGAGATGCCATGAGGGGTTCTTGGGCAATAATACTTTTAGAACCTATATCTTCAACACAATCCTCAAGAGGGGTTATCAATGTGCCGTTAAGGCTCACCGCTTGAGGTTCAAGGTTAGCTCCAAATATACTGTCATGTGAAACGAATATTTCTTCATTGAAACTCAAATTAGATTCATCATTTTGATCAAAATATAATCCGTTGTCACATGCAACATTCCCACCATTCATGCTAGGGTCATTTTGTATTTTATTAGAAGAAATAGCTTCACACAATACATGTAATTGTTCTTGTATTCTACAAAAGTGAGCGGTTAATTCATCTAATCTTTCCTCAACCCTATCAAAACGATCGGGAATCGCATTAGCTAGCTTTTCTATGGCTAAATCAAATTGATTAGAAGAATTTTCTACAGCTAGCTTCCAAGATGTATTAGAATCATTAGTTAATGGTTCACTTTCTAATTCCCGAGGTAAAGGTGCATTAGCCAACCTTTCTATTTCTAATTTTCAAGATGGTTTTAATTCATAGTGGACACATTCGGATTGGTAATCATAAAAACATGGAGAATCACTATATGCACATTGATTATTCCAACCATAAGCACAAGAATTGCCCCAATTAGGACTATATTGATCAAGATAAGGATTGCAATGCCCAAATTCATTATAATAATCCATATTTTGCGCTTGCCTATATGTATAAATAGCATGATAACTTCCACACAAGTCACAAATAATATGGTTATTATTCCACAATGTAGCATGATAACTTCCACACAAGTCACAAATAATATGGTTAGAATTAACAATGTTAACATTCTTCTTTTGCTCAATCTCATGCTTAATGGTGTTCCATTGAATTTATAACGTGATGACATCAAGTTTTGCCCTTAAGCAGCTCAAACCATCTTCAAATGACATACCTTCGGTATTTTCTTGGTTACCTCTATTTAAGGAGTTTTGCACGTAGTAACCATCCATTGCCGATCTTCCGCTTCTGAAGCATTGTTTTTCATATTGACCTACCCTCCTCATTACCTAAAATTACTTTTAAACAACTTAAGAGTAAGATTAGTAAGAAGAATAGGTGATAAAACACATACACACAATAAACACTAAAATAAAAGAAAAATAACATTCAAGACTAACTCGACAAACACACAACAAACTAAACTTAATTAACACACTAGAAAACTAATAAAATGTCCAAACTAATAAAGTTGTTCTTCACGCCGATATTGCCATAAATCTTCCCCTGCAACGGCGCCAAAAACTTGACGGGATTTTAATATAAGCACAAGTTTAAATCCAATTTATACCCGTATGACTGCAAGTATACAGGTCGAATTAATAGTTTAGGGCATATATCGGGTCGATCTCACGAGGAAGATTGGACAATTATCGAAACTACTAAAGCTTCTCTATTATTTAGACGATCAATGAATTAAAAGAAATAAAACTATGCTAAACTTATGCAAGATAATAACAAATGAAAACTCCTTAGATTATGGTATTCCTAACTACTCATGCAAATGCTATTTTTGGATCATTGATTGCTACTATCTTCGCTAACTATGGCGTAATTTCCTTATGCATGTGAAACCTACTCTCGTAGTGAATCAACTATACTTATAACTAATCCATACCTACTCTCGTGGTTATGAATTAGCTACAAGTTAATTACCTCTATGAAATTACATGAAATAAATCACCAAAGCCACAAAGGTGCACCTCTACTCTCGTGAGTGTACTCCCTAGATTTCGTACTTCTTGAACTATTGTTAAATCTCAATTTTTATTGAAGAAACAACACCTTTAGATAATCACAATTAATGGTACCAAGTTAATCATGATTTAAAGAGCTAAAGTGCTAAATAATTTGCTCAAAATAATGGCATCAAATAGCCAAATAATAAACATTAACAATTATAGAAAGTTCAACCAAACCAAGGCATAAACTTTAGAAACACATAATAACATATAAATCCATAACTTGTATATTAACTAAACTTAGAATCAAGTACAAAAGATAAAGAGTTAGAAAGGAAATGTAACCCTTGTCACATGAGTTCATCTCCTCCATCTTCATCTCCTTCTTCATCTTTGCCTAGCTAATAAATAAGAAGAATGAATTACTAGTTAAACTATTCTATACTATACTAATCTAACACTAAGAAAATATAATAACTACATTTTTGTGATATTTCTTGCACTCTCCAAGCTCTCATTGTCCTTGCAAGTCCATGGCTATTTATAGATGATTTAGTCAAGAAATGAGGCTTCAAACATCACTTTTACAGCTGCAAAGTTGTTGTCACACGTCCATCAATAGCTGTGAATTATTAGAGGAGGAAACAAGTTATACAAGTGGAGAGCAGCCATTTCTGACCAGAATCCGGCCGGATTTCTCCCCTACCATTCTTAGCAATTTCCGTCTAGTCTTCAATGTTGCTCCAATTCTGCCTCAACTTCAATTAAACTGTTCTTGATGATAGAAGCTGAATTAACTCTTGACCAAAACATGAAACTTATAGCACTTTGAGTTAGCTTTCCAATGCATCAAGAATCACCTCATTTCGATTTGTGTAGGTGAAAAAATGACAGAAATACCCTTGACTGCTCATAGCCTTGTTTCAGCTTCGACCAATAGAAATTGGCTACTGTAATTCGGTTTTTTGACAAGGAAAACCTTCAAACTGGATTTCGATGTCTTCACAAGATTTGTATAGCTATCTCTTATCTTCAAAATGATTCAAGAATCATATCAATCCAATCATTGTAGCTCAAGTTATAGCCGAAATATGAAGATGTGTCAAAGCTATCAACTTCCTCTTCATCCAAACGAAGTATATTTCCAACTTCTATACAAATTATGGACAAAATGCAAGTAAAAAGTGACAAAAACCTCATTTAATCACTTAAGAGTATTTTACACCAATTATAGCTCAAATGATCCATTTTCTTCCTATAATATTGTCAAAATGACTAAAATAGCATAAAATATCATTCAAATATAGCGTAAATTAGTCACTTGTCAGTAGGCTTTGAAACGCATCCGGTTGCCATCCTAAAATGTAGGTTTGCAAACATAGTTGCTGCTTTAGAAAGTTTGGCAACAAGCCAACAACTTGATAGTTTGATTGTTGTTTAGTTCTCCATCAGAGGTTTGCTCCCAATTATAGTATCCGTCAAATAAACAGCTGCTTTTTTTTTTTTTCGAAACGGTAGATGATTGTATTACTAGACAAAAGCTGTACAAGTGCGAGCAAAGGCTCGATTGAACTTTACAAGTAGCAAAGCTACCACTAAGGAAACCAATGTTCCTCATCAAAAATAATGCCCAAGGCATGAATGCTAAGCTTGGAGCTTAGTTGAGTCTTATCCTTTTTAATTAAACAAAAGGAGCACAAAGGAAACAGCTCTCTCAAATGAACAATGTCATCCACAACAGTAGCTAATCTAATGTCACCAACGCTGTTTGTGCGAATTTGGCTGAGAAGTTGTGGGTTTTGCACTTGGAACTGCACTTCGCTGATGTGTGTCCGGACTGGCATAGAGCCAATCTTACACATGGCCAGCTTAAGTGCATTAGCATCATCCAGCAGTGATGAACCAGAACTTCTTGCTCGAAGTGCCCACCCTCTGTGTAATCTTTGATCAGGCTGCTTAATAACAATTCCAATACCCATGTTGTGATTGTTCATGGTCGAAGTTGCCCCTACCGTCACTTCCAGTGTCCCAAATGCTGAATGTAACTGCGGTATGGGTGCATGGAGGGTTGCTGTTTCGTTTGTACTCATTCCACATTCCTTTGTATCAAGTTCTACCAATTCTAACCATTCCTGATGTGCCCTCTGTACTATCTTCGAAGGCTGTTTTTCCTTACCATTGAATTCCATTTCATTCCTAGCTTTCCAAATTTGCCAAAGAATATTGACAGACAAAGAAATACGTAACCAACCTTCTGTTTTGTGCTTGGCTTCCAAGATTGATAACCACCATCTACGGAAACTCCCATGGTGTTCCAAAATTCCATTCCAGTGGACAGGGGCTAACTTCCAAATCATTTTAGATTCGCGGCAGTTCAAAAGCATATGTTCGATAGTTTCCCTATCCTCTCCACATCTATTGCAAATGGGATCCCCAACTTTAAGTCTACCGTATATCAGATCTTTCACTGGGAGTGCATCATTTAGGCATTTCCAAAGGAAGACCTTCAGTTTGTGTTTCACCTTTAGTCTCCACAAATCCTTCCATGTCTTCTGGGTTTGGTCCTCCCAGCTTGTCGAACCCTCTGTGTTGTTTCCATTGAGACTAACTTCTGCACAGTTAACCAGTAATTTATACCCCGATTTTACCGAATAGTTTCCATCAGTCCCATAAATCCAAAAGTGACTATCTTCCTTCCCTGCTAGACTTATAGGAATATTCAGGATCCTTTCAGCCTCTAGGGTATTGAAATGCTTGAAAACCAGATTAGAATTCCATGATTTATGGTGTATCAGCTCGTGAACTTTCTGGAGGCCATTGTCTCTAGCTGTTCTGGTAGTCACTCTGCCGTCTCTATTCCCTGGAATCCAGCCATCATCCCAAATGTTGGTAGTGTTGCCATTTCCAATCCTTCTTCTTGTTCCTTGTTCCACCAAACCTCTGGCTCCCATAAGACTCCTCCATAGCCAAGAAGCATTGTTAGGGACTTTGCATCGAAAAATAGACATCCTTGGGAAATATTTAGCCCTCATAACTTGACTGATTAATAAATTAGGTTGGGTTATCAATCTCCAAACCTGTTTGCCGAGAAGAGCTACATTGAAAGCCATCAAATCTTTGAAGCCTAGTCCTCCCTTATTCTTGCTTAGCGTAAGCTTCCTCCAGGAGCACCAATGAACCTTATTCTTCCCGTTAGACTCTCCCCACCAGAAATTTGACAATAATGAGCTCAGTTCCTTACATAATCTGGATGGGAGCTTAAAGCAGGACATGGTGTACGTTGGCATAGCTAGAGCTATAGATTTAAGTAAGATTTCCTTACCTGCTGTACTCAGTAACCTATTTGTCCACCTACTCATTCTTTGTTGTACATTAGACTTGACATAGCCAAATAGCTGCTGTTTTGATCTTGATACTACCATTGGTAGGCCAAGATATTTCCCTTGGGTAACACTTTGCATGTTCCCCATAGCTTGACAAATCTCTTGCTTCAGCTGTATCCTTACATTCTTACTAAAAAGAATGGACGACTTTTCCAGATTGATCACTTGACCAGACCCCAATGCATATTCCTGCAACACCCTCATCAGTTCCATTGCTTGATCCTTAGTTGCTTTGCAAAAGATTAAGGAGTCGTCTGCGAAGAAGAGGTGTGTAATACTTGGACCATTTCTACTTATCTTTAAACCAGAAATTTTCCTGGAAGCTGCTGCCTGCCGAATGAGGTTGGAAAATCCTTCGGAGCAAAGAAGAAACAAGTAAGGAGAAAGAGGGTCCCCTTGTCTAATACCTCTGGTAGGTGTCACATACTCCTTGACCTCACCATTAATATTGAATGAAAAGGAAACCGTTCTCACACACTCCATAATCCAGTTGCACCATTTATGATGAAATCCCATCTTCTGCATAATGGACTCTAGAAACCTCCATTCCACACGGTCGTAGGCTTTAGACATGTCCAACTTCACTGCCATAAACAGCTGCTTGTTTGTTTCTTTTATGGATGGTATGATGATGAGTCTCCTCCACCTGCCATGTTTCTGCAAAATAGAATTAGTTAGTTTATCTTTAATTTTTTTGGAAAAGGGTAGGAGGGCATTAGGATCAAGAAGTTGGGGTATTATACCCTCAGTGGTGGTTATGCAAGGAACTAGTTGGTTGATAAAGGATACTCTTAAAATGACATTATTGGTTAATTTTTTGGCTAGGAAAAAGGTGTCTGTGATAGATAAGGAAGAGAATTGGATATATATATATATTAGATTAGTTATTTTAATCAGAATTGTTTCTTACTTCTATGTGGCGTACTTAATTAAGAAAATTAATGAGTTAAAGGTCACTTGAATTTTACCTATATTGAATCTTATTTGGATTGTATTATATGTTTAAAAATTATCTCTAATTTTAAAATAACTTTAAAAAATAACTAAACTTATCTTAATAATGTTTTGCTTTTATCAAATTATTACATAGAACTATAGTAAAATCTTTTGCAAATCACAATTATTGAAAATTTACATACTACCTTGCACCACCATATCATTGATTAGTATTCAAATCATTTATCATCTTTTCCCTCATTGTTATTACCTTATAAAATACAAAATTTTATTATCTAAAAAATATTTATAGAATAAAGAATATCCACCAAGTTTTTAATATGGGGTACATTATTTGATGTATACTATTATATTACGATGAAAGTATGTAAACAAATTTTTAAAAATTAGTAAATAATTGAACATTTAGAATACATTAATTTTTAATGTTAATATGAATGAATATGTAGGATTGTTGTTAATTTTTGTATTAAAATATTTATATTTGTATAAATTCACAATAAATATAAAAAAAAGACCGTGCTAAGACATGGACAAAATTCTAGTTATGTAATAAGTAAGAAGAATAATCAATTGCAAAGTACGATGTGTTTCATTTCGGTCTAACCACCTCCCTGAATTTTGGTGATTAACCCTAATTTTAAACATGTACTACTTTCCTATTTATTATTAAGAATCCCAACTGCATACTCCTTGGATTTTTATACAATAGTTTGATTGGAAATAATTTGTACAGCACTGACCTAATGCATGTTGGAATTGCCTGGTTTTATAACCCCAATAATTGCACGCATGCATCTTCCATGACTTCACCTATCGAAAGTCGAAGGTTTTGCATCACATTTTGCTTAAACAATTTATCTAAAACATATCAAATTGGCCTTCGAATTGAGGACGTTAGACTAAACCATAGAGATAAGGTGAAGGAATTTTTTTTTTTTTTGTGATTTTCCTTACAGGAGTAGGGTGAATTTGCTCATATGTCCTCCAGCTTTTATGAACATTTTGCTTTGTTTTCAACTTATACTTTCTTCAATTTCGATCTTGAGTAATGATTTTCAATTTTTGGCAGGTTAGTTTCTTGACAAATCAACCATGTATTGAGCCATGAGTTTCATAAAATTATCAAACTTATAATGTATAAGCTCTGTGAAGAATGGACGGTATTACATGATTACATCACCAGTAATTGAATGGGATATATACAGTCTAGTGGTCAAGGGACTATGTTTTTGAAGGCACTGAAGATGATTCAATTTGAAATTTTGCCACATCAATTTGGCTAATTCATTTGATTTTTTTTAGTTACTTATAGTTGTCAACTTGTCATTCTGTAAAAGAAATATATTTCCAAAATATAATATGGTAAATAGAAACCAAGTTTCAGATACTTAATACAACAATTATCGTAATTAGCCTCACAGTTTGTTAATTAACATAGCCACTTTTTAATAAGAAGTGATTTTTTTATTTTTTATTTTTTTCCAATGGAAATTTTAAACCTCACAAGAAAAAGAAAGAGGAGGAAATGATTGACAACAAACAAAGATCTTGCAATTGACCAGTTTTTTATTTTTTATTTTTAAAATTTAACTAGTAAGTAGTAGTATATAACATGGCTGAACTGTCTAGGTCGAGAAAATACGAGACTGAACATATTCAGCATTATCCAAGTACGGCCCATTTTAACTTGGGCTTAATATTTTGTACCCATATCAAACTAAGCCAATCTATGTAGAAGGCTTGGACCTAGTTACATATATTAAAAGGCCTATCTCTTACAAAATAGAGGACAAATTACTTGTGACCCGCATGGGGTTTTACATAATGTCAAATGAACTTTTTAGAGTTTTAAAATGTTCATATAACTCCTATGGTTTTATGTAAATTTTAAGGTAGAAAAAAACGGAATGCACAACAAATTATGGCGTTTATACCAAACGTATTTTAAAGGAGCGTGTGATAAAGTTTTAATATTTATGTAACACGCTTATGATTTGTATAAATATTCACGTTACTTTCTTGTGATTTTTACATTTATCTACATAATTTTCTTATGTTTTTATACAAGGTTTCAGGGGAGGGGGAGAGGAAAGGGGAAGAGGAGGAGGAAGAGGGAGGGAGGAAGGGAGGAGGAGGGAAGAGGGAGGAGAGAAAGAGAGAGAAGGAGAAAAGAAAGAAAGGAAAAAAAAAAAAAGAGTCACCGGCTGACAGGTGCCGAACCTGTGCAATAATAATAAATAAAACCTAACTACCACCTGAAGCAGTCAATAATCAATTCTAGTACTGGAGCAAGGACTCTAGGTGTGCAATGGGTTACTTGATTCACCCTGTTTCCGAAGAGTTTGCTTAATCCGATATACTTGAATTAATTATTTAACTGAATTTACTAACTAGTAGACAGTGGTAAGCAGGGTCGTCTCCTCAGGGACTGGCGAGAAATTTGTTTCTTTTCAAGTCAAGATTAATAGGGGGTTTTGGGATTAAATGCCAACTAAATAAATTAAATGCAGAAAATAATTAATTAAAAGAAATACTTAGAGAAACTCTAGCCAAGGGTACACTTCAGAAATGATTCATGCACTGATCATCGATTCACAGATAATTCCATCACTTATTAATAGATTAGTTATAGTTGTCATGCACGCGATAAACAACCAACTTTTTCTTAATTTCTCGATAGTTAAGGTACGACCGTTAACTATTTCTCTAACCCGGAAACAACCCTAGGTACGACCGTATGATTTAATTTCTAGATTGCATTAATAATTAGAAAGACCCAACCCTAACTAACAAACACGCTACGAGGGTTTGTTTAAGTTAGATCATATGTTCCCCTGACATAAACCCAATTACGCCAGTTGCTACTGAGATAGAGATAATGAACAATTACGGATTCAATTACCCCTATTTAGCAAAATAACCTACGTGAATAATTAATTATTGCGCACTAATCAATCATACACAAGGGCTATAACAATTAAAAGCAGGAAACATATAAATACCAATAAATGAAGGAAATAATTAAAATAATTTAGATCTCACAGTAATTGCTGAACCAAATCTTCAGTTGTCCCCTTGACTAGCAGTGTAAAATTAGTTCTCCATTAATGGAGAACAAGCCATGCAAATCATTGTTCTCAACTTTCTCCTCCAAATTCGATGAAAGAAAACTCGATGGAATTAAGAACTATCTATCCAACCACCAAGCCAAAGGGATAATTAAATGTTCCATGCTATGGCCTTTGCGGCCCACATGATAGATACCTAATAGGAGAAGAAAACTACTAAGACCCCAAAACAAGTCTCCTCCAAAACTTACGAGAGAATGTTTCTTTTTGTTTCCTATCTTCGGTCAACCAAAGATGAAAAGTCATTTCCAAGGTCAACAATTGTGGCCTCTTTGTCTGCTTACAAAGCATATCAAAGCCAAACGAAATACATGCCAAGCCAAGCAGACCTACTAGGAGTCTAATACTTCCCTCCTTTTTCCTTTTGGTAGCCACGAAATTGAAGGAATTGATTTTCCTTTTCCATCCGCCAGGCCCCACCAAAGAGTCACTCACGCTGCTGACTCCTTCGAGTATTAATCACATTTTTATCTCTTTTTGCTCCATCTTTCTACAATTAGTACCAAATACCAAATATAAGTAGAATCTATCAATTAATATAATATTTGATATAATAGGAGAGGAAAATAATCATAGAATTAATGACAAAAATACAACCTATCACCGGCCCCGATGCCGGCACCAGTGGAATGGCGGCCGGTGGCGGCCGTTGGTGGAGGTGGTGGTTGATTGAGTTGTGGGAAGGAAGAAGAAAAAAGACAAGAAAAAATTTTTGTTTGTGTTTGGGCATTTGAGGTATGCATTTTAAAAAATTTGGGGAGTTGTTTGAAATTATTGTAATTGAAATTGTTAAAAATCTTGTAGAAAAAAAAGCTAGGCAAAAAACTTGGGTCCCAACCAGACAATAGAATATAAGTATACGACTAGGAGCAAGTCACAAAACAAACTAAACACAAGGAGGGAAGTAAAAAAAGAGGAAATTCCTCAACCAAAGAATACATGGTCCCACGTATTTAGATGCCAGCACTTGACACTTGCTACGCATGCACATTTTTTGCCGGAAGTAGCAGATCATTTTTCTTAGGCATTGTAAGACCTGGTAAAACTTGATTATCAATGTCGTCTTTCTTGATCCCAAAAGGCAATTCCCAGTCAAAAGAGTACAGAAGATTGGCAAGAACAACTTCCACCATTGCTATTACCAGAGAATATCCAGGGCAGCCCCTTCGGCCAGCTCCAAATGGTATCAGTTGAAAGTCTTTCCCTTTCATATCTACACTACTATTCAAGCATCTCTCAGGCAAAAACTCATTTGGATTTTCCCAATATTCGGGATCTCTTCCAATCGCCCAGACATTTGTGTAAACTTAGAATTGGACTGGATTTCGTGACCATTTATAGTGCAATTTGCTAGTGTGTGTCTTGGAACTGAAAGTGGAGCTGAATGATACAATCTGAAGGTCTCCTTGACAATTGCCTTGAGATAAGGGAGCTTTTGAATATCATCTTCGTTTATTATATCTTTATTTCCAACTGCACCTCTAATCTCTGGTTGTGCCTTCT